ATACCCATAGAGTTGGTGGAAAGTACAAAACCTTGCCCCTTTGAAGGGTCTCTTTGACCGATTTTTCTTCTTCTTTTTATTATTATCAGTTCTTCCAGATGGTCCTGCTTTACCAGGAGCATTCTCGTATGCCAATATTGGAATTGCATTCAGTGTGGCAGAAGCCAGTGCCTATCCGGAGGTGGGAGTTACTGTGTGACCTGCTTAAGTCCATTGTTGAGTGACAATGTGCGCTGCGGGTCCTCGACCTACTTGCCTCTAAGGCGGAGGGAGTCCCTGCACGACACGATTTCGGTGATCAATCATTTCTGCACTGATGATTTTCACTTGCATCATTTCCACCAATTCGTCATAAGTGGCAGGATTCTTGTTACGTACGTTCCTCCAGAACAAATTGTGCATGTTGAGGCCGCCTTTCAGAGCTGAAAGGGCTTCTTTGTCAGTGGCCTGTTCACAGTATGTGATTTCGTCTATAAATCTGGCGAGATAGCTTTTCAGCGTCTCTCCAGGGGCCTGCCTCATATCTTGCAGGTGTTGCACTGGGGCCTCTCCTTCTCTGCGTGAGAGGTATTGGTTCAAGAATGCATTCTTCAAATCTGGCCACTCCTAATGCTCAGGGGAGGAAGTCTACTATACCGCACTTCAGTAGCTCTGCCCAGGGTTAGGTGGAAGGCCCTGCATTTCAAAGTAGTCGAGGCTCCCCTGAGGCTCATCTGTGTAATGTACTTGGTGATGTGCTTCTCCGGGTCCTCCTTTCTTTCATACTTGGGGATCTTAGGGGGCATGAAGTTCGCTGGCATTGGGAAGCTTCGGATCTCCCTTGAGAATGTGAGATTATCATCATCATCGTCAATTTCATAAGATCGACAAGGCCCATCTGACCCTTCATCATCTTGAATATCCTGGGGAGGTGGAGGTGCTTCTCCTCGGCTCCCCCAATCTACTAGGTTCCTCCTATCCCTCCTATTTCTAGGAGGAGGAGGTGGACGTTCTTGCTTTTGGTCTTACCGAACTGATCTTTGCACTGAGCGGACCCTATTGCTAGGGTCCTGCCCTATTCGGTTGAAGACGTTTACTGACCGTTGTTCCTCATATTCTTGAGGGAAATTGTCCCCTAGCTGTGGTTCTACTGGCTGGCTCCCTTGCACATAGGATGTGGCTTCTGCGCCCACTTCTCTTTTAAGGGGGCGTTCTCTGTGATGGCTCATATGGCCTCGAGAACGAGATACAGGGGCTTCCTGCACTGGGTAAGATCCTTGGGGCATTTGAGAGCCCTGGTGACCTCGAGCTTGCATGAGAAGTTCATGCATCGCCATATTTTGAGTTGCGATGTCTTTCATGCCCGCAGCTATTTGAGCCATTCCTTCAGTGAGCATGGCTGTTCTTTCACTTCGACGACATCGATGATGGGGTCTCTTCTTTAGAGGCTTCTCTCATGGGGTTGTTGTCTTCATGGCTGGAAATCATTCTATCTTCTTTTTCAAGGATGATGAGAACTTGGGTTATAACTCGACTTCATTTTTTTAAGAACGTGCCCTTTTTAGGGTAAGTCGCTAGTTTTCGGGTGGTTTCTCCGATGGAGAATGCAGAACTTTGAATGGGAAGTTTCCCACAGACGGCGCCAATCAGTTGACCTCGAAAATTGGACCCTCCACGTGGCCAACCGATAGCCCCTCCACGTATTCCTCCCTGCGCACAATCAACGCACGGTTAGATGCACATGGCCGGAACCAGCTTAGATGCACATGGCCGGAACCAGCGGGGGTGACGGCGGCCGAATACACTCCGACGGTCAAGTTAGGCTCGGGTGATCGGAATAGTACCAAGGTTGTGCAAAATAGTGGGGAGGATAATATATATATTTGCTTGCTATGGAGTGCTAAGTAGTAAGAGTTTCATTACCTTTGTCTCTTGCCAAGCCTTGTGTATTTATAGGTGAGGAGAACCGTTGGATGTGGGACACGTGTATACATCTGACGGTATGAAGCGTCTGCTCATAGGCATCAATCAGCCGCGTCTATAGAGTGGGCAGGTAATTACTTCTCCCGAGTTGAGTTGACATAAAGTTGATATGTCACATCAACTAGTCTCATGGAGACGTCAAATCACTTTAAACCTTAGGGGTAGAAAAGATCTTGACAAAGATCTCATTCTGAAATTGGCGACGGATCCTTTGACAAAGGTTCCCAGAGTGCATTTCACCTTGGATTTGGGGGCGAGGGCGGGGGCTTAGGTCAGTCCCGCCGAATTGCCTATGCCTCGTAGTGTGATAGCGGATCGTCACCATTGGTGAAATCAGTTTAGAACCACTTCAGATGAGTGTTCCACACCTCTCATGATGTGGTGGTGGAGGTTCAGATAGGGGCGTCACTTCGAAACCACTTCGAATGAATGTTCAACACCTCGCATGATGTGGTGGTGGAGGTTCAGATAGGGGCGTCACTTCGAAACCACTTCGAATGAATGTTCAACACCTCGCATGATGTGGTGGTGGAGGTTCAGATAGGGGCGTCACTTCGAAACCACTTCGAATGAATGTTCAACACCTCGCATGATGTGGTGGTGGAGGTTCAGATAGGGGCATTATCAGTCACTCATAAAATGAGCTTTAAGCTTGTGTCAGCCACAATTTTAGAGACTGAGAATTCTCAACCATTATTTATTTAAAGATTGTGAAAGCTTTAAGATTTGAATACTGCCAATGCTTTGAAAATCATAAAATTTTTCATGTTTTGTTTGTCCGGTTAAATGATGTAACCGAACCAGTCAACGGATCGGCTCATGTCAAACTATTATGGTTGCTTGGTAGCTTCCAAATAGACTTATAATTATTGAAGGCTTTCTTGTCAAACAGATTCCAGACAATTACATGAAAACAACAAAAACATCTCAATTCGTAGCACATGTTCGTACTAATCGTATTATACATGAAAACAACAAAAACATCTCAATTCGTAGCACATGTTCGTACTAATCGTATTAATGAAAGTCAAAAGCCTAGTAGAATTTTCTTACATGGTACTTTTTATTGAGAATGTTTTATTTTATTCGTTTACTAATATACCATTATTTAAATTGTCTAGTTATGATCATTTTTTTCCACTTAATCTTGAAATTGTACATATATAAATAAGGGTAAACTACGAAAATTTTGGCAAAAATTACTTTTTCAATAACATTAAATAATATTTTTTAATCTGTATGGAAAACAAAATAAGCATATGCCCCCGTTTGGCCCCCATTCTCATCTCATTTTTATTTTCATTCATTTTCTCTCTTATTTTCAACCACATAATCTTCTATAAAATAATATTACACACAAATCAAAAAAATTTCATTCTTTGTCAACCACACATTGTTCAAAAAAATACTATTCCATCCATTAAAATTAGCTAAGAATAGGGGCCAAACGGGAGCTATATAAATGGGGAGGACGAAGTATATAGGATCCATGCGTGAATGCTTGACTCTTGCACTAGATTTAACAATGAATCGAATGTGATGATAAAAAGAAATTCACGTAGCTGACCTCAAGCATACTTTTACTAGATCTATCAACGAATTGTAAAGAGAAACTCCAAATTAATCTATAGAAGATTTACTCTGTTATTGTTGTACACGAACATCTATAAATCTTTCATCATTAGCAATGGATTGAAAGGAGTGATGTAAATGATAAAGCCATCTACAATAAAAAAAAAAAAAGTGTTCGCAATAATTTTCATCGCAATCAAGCGGCCTAGTGAGTGAAAAAGTGTTCGCAATAATTTTCGTTAAAAGTAAGTACATAGCTCCTGTTTGATAAAGGGTTTTTTTTTTTTTTTTCCAAATTGTAAGTTAAAATTGTGTTTTAAAGTATAAAAAAGTTAATTCGAATCATATTTTTTATTCACACATGTACTATCCACAAAACCCAATATTTCATTTCTCTTAGCTACGACCAATCAGTTCTTGCACATTGCGTCCACTACATTTTCTCCCATTCGTATAATTTTTCAAATTACTAATCATATTAGCCTCTCCTGGCCCATTTTGCAATCCTTTGAGTTAACCTGTTTAAATAGTTACTAATAGAAAAGTAAAAAGTTGGTCCTTTTGGAATTCAATATTTTGGGTCACTTTTATAAAAGAAAACAATTCTGAAAAAATGTTAGTAAGATGAAATTTCTCGTGCAAAAGAGAAAAAATTAACTTTCTTTAAACTTGAAATAAAGTTCTTATCTAAATCAAATTTTTAAAAAGAAAGAAAAGGTAGTTTTATATCTAGCCAGAAAAAAAAAATTACTTAAATTGAAAAATGGATATATAACATCACTAGGGGGGGAGTATTCTATAGTGTTAAAATTAGAAATTTATGAGCTAATCTTTTCCAACATGGTGTGGAAGGGAGTACAAGCAGCTTTCCACCCTATACTCTTGGAGGCATAACCTGCGATTTACCTCCTTCACGATACTCCAGCGCAAGGGCAGTGGGGGACCCTTAAGGTTGGGGTTCAACCTTTTTTTTTTGAGTACTCACCGCATATATTTATGAGCTGCACTTACTGAAAATTTTGCTTAGAGATTGTTTCCTGACAACTCATATGGGATGGGTGGTTGATATTTTTTGACATTTTTTTATCACACATGGGACCCACACGTGTCTCCTTCTGTCAACTAAAATTATGTACAAAAGGAAAATTTCAGAAAATGAACTCAAAGCTCCGCTGAAATAACACCCTCCTTTTAGCCAATATATATCAATTAAGCTCCACTTTGACCCTCATTACATTATATTTCATTTTTTCCTCTTTTTTTATTAAAATAATATTACACGTAAATAATTTTTTTCTTTATCAATCACTATTTCATAATGCATTTTTTCAAATTAATAGGGCTCAAACTGGGCCTAAGTCTCATAATTCATATTCTTATAACTTCTAACTCATGAACTCCCACAATAATATTGATAACAAGAAAAAGCTACTTTGTCTTTTAGCAAAGTTGAAATTGCATTGACATAACAAAGAAATTTCCACCACTCGAGCATTCTCATCTCAAATCCAAAGCAAGGCAGTCGTCGGAAGAGAGCTGAACAATTAAACAAAATAATGAACGCTAATGCACCAATGCCATGGATAGGCCTATACGCTGCTTTAGCATCTCTAACGTGGACTCTTTTACTTGTTCTTGATGCAGTGATCTCTATACACAGTAGAAAATTATGGTTCCCCTGCAGATATTCTGCTCTCAATGCTGTTTCCATGACTGCGTTATCCATCGCAGTGAAGTTGTCAATGGATCTAACTACCCCGATGAAAGGTAAGTATGATCAAGCCGCTAAATTTAGTAGCACTGCTTTCTTGTGTATTTCAACCACTCATTTCATGCCTTCTCTGGGATCAATGAGTGATAGAGAGATATTAGTGAACTTGACAGCATTGGGTGTTCTTATAGTGACGCTTACCGTAAATGTTATCATCCAAGTATTCACAGGCGTGATTGAAGAACATCTCCAAGGGGTGATTGTCTTTATGAATATTTATGCGTTAATTGTACTGAGCTCTTCTGCTTTAACAGTATTTACAAGTAAAATGTATTTGGAAGACAAGTATAAAGAATTGCGTGCAAGAATTTCGGCAGAGGAACTACAAGGAGGCGAATTAATGGACTTTGACAAGTTAAAGTCACGAGTGAAGAAGTACTGGGTGATGGCAGAAACAGGTAACCCTCAGTTTGTAATGGCACGATCTGAGGCCAGTGGCGTTTTATTCTTGATCTGCGCCATTAGTTGTAGCTATAATGCAGGTTATGCAACAATGTTGCTTGAAAAAATTAAGTTAAATTTTACCTCCAGCTATAAGTGTTCAGTATATTTTGTTTTTTCGACACAATATGTAGGTATGGCTTTTTGCACTGTCATGTCTTTAGGAAGATTTTTAGTAGCTTTACTTCACACTGTACGGAATATTAGAAAATATAACATCTCTAGCATTTCTTCAGAAATAAAGAATTACAGAATCGAAAGATTGGTAGAGTGGAAAAAAAGACTCCCACCATTACAAGTTCGAGGCCAGAAGTGTAGAAAAATTATTTATCACATCAGAAATCTACTTCTCAACATTTGTATAGGAAGTCAGATAGTGATTGTGATCACGAATAAATTGCTTCTGCCAATCTCAATTTTTGGACCTCTATGCTTATTGATGCTTTATCAAGTAATCCCATTGAGCTTCGTACTCTTTATTGGTATCTTGAGGAAGAGAATCATTAGATGTTTTGTGATGTTGAAGCAATTTTTCTTAAGGGAATCCGAGGACTTGGTCATTCCCAATGAACCAGAACACATTCTTGGTTATGAGCAAGATATTAGAAATTTTGTTTTACTTCTAGAAAGTGAGGCAATACAAGATGGATACCTAAGGTTTGTTAACACTTCTATTAATTCATGCATAAAGATGGGTGCAAAGTGTCAGCCTAGATATCTAATGGAGCTTATGGAGAATTCCACCAGCTCCGAGGGTGTATTAAAATTTGAAAGTGATCAAGTCTCTCCGATAATTCTCCCAGAACCTCTTAATTGCTGGAGTCTATCCGTGGCAACACTAACAAGCATCATTGAAGCTCTTCCCAACATTCATAATGAGAAGAGGAATCGGTTGTTAAAAAGCGTCATTGAAGGTTTTAGGTATGTGCACCTCATAGAGAAAGATGTGGATGTTTATAAAAAATTGGAAAGTAGCACGAGCACTACAGATTTTGCATGGGTTTTAGTTGAATTTAGACACAAGTGGTTAGACATGGACCTCCAAAAAATTGCCAGGGTATCAAAATCGTCCAAAGAAACTCTTAAGAATCTTGCAAATAGAAGTGAAGAAAATTTGAAGGAATTCACAAGTAGAATGAATGGAAATGCCATGGAAAGCTCAGTTCACTTGCCTAAAAATATCATAATTGCTAATTCAATGTACAAAATCTGCAACAGTTTACTGTTGGTCTATGAGGAAAGCTATCATTCAGCATCANTCAAATTTTTAAAAAGAAAGAAAAGGTAGTTTTATATCTAGCCAGAAAAAAAAAATTACTTAAATTGAAAAATGGATATATAATATCACTAGGGGGGGAGTCTTCTATAGTGTTAAAATTAGAAATTTATGAGCTAATCTTTTCCAACATGGTGTGGAAGGGAGTACAAGCAGCCTTCCACCCTGTACTCTTGGAGGCATAACCTGCGATTTACCTCCCTCACGATACTCCAGCGCAAGGGCAGTGGGGGACCCTTAAGGTTGGGGTTCAACCTTTTTTTTTTGAGTACTCACCACATATATTTATGAGCTGCACTTACTGAAAGTTTTGCTTAGAGATTGTTTCCTGACAACTCATATGGGATGGGGGTTGATATTTTTTGACATTTTTTTATCACACATGGGACCCACACGTGTCTCCTTCTGTCAACTAAAATTATGTACAAAAGGAAAATTTCAAAAAATGAACTCAAAGCTCCGCTGAAATAACACCCTTCTTTTAGCCAATATATATCAATTTAACCCCAGTTTGACCCTCATTACATTATATTTCATTTTTTCATCTTTTTCATTAAAATAATATTTTACGCAAATAATTTTTTTTCTTCTTTTTTTAACCATACATTCTTTATCAATCACTATTTCATAATGCATTTTTTCAAATTACTAGGGCTCAAACTGGGCCTAAGTCTCATAATTCATATTCTTATAACTTCTAACTCATGAACTCCCATAATAATATTTTACACTTGTGACAATAATAATGCCAATGAATATTATAGCAAGTAATAACTCTTTACCTCAATAAGATCAAGTAACTCCATAATTTCAAAATACAAGAATTACAATGCAATATTTCGAATTTTAATAAAAAATGTAAAACATATTAATAACAAGAAAAAGCTACTTTGTCTTTTAGCAAAGTTGAAATTGCATTGACATAACAAAGAAATTTCCACCACTCGAGCATTCTCATCTCAAATCCAAAGCAACGCAGTCGTCGGAAGAGAGCTGAACAATTAAACAAAATAATGAACGCCAATGCACCAATGCCATGGATAGGCCTATACGCTGCTTTAGCATCTCTAACGTGGACTCTTTTACTTGTGCTTGATGCAGTGATCTCTATACACAGTAGAAAATTATGGTTCCCCTGCAGATATTCTGCTCTCAATGCTGTTTCCATGACTGCGTTATCCATCGCAGTGAAGTTGTCAATGGATCTAACTACCCCGATGAAAGGTAAGTATGATCAAGCTGCTAAATGTAGTAGCACTGCTTTCTTGTGTATTTCAACCACTCATTTCATGCCTTCTCTCGGATCCATGAGTGATAGAGATATATTAGTGAACTTGACAGCACTGGGATCCCTTATAGTGACGCTTACCGTAAATGTTATCATCCAAGTATTCACAGGCGTGATTGAAGAACATTTCCAAGGGGTGATTGTCTTTATGAATATTTATGCGTTAATTGTATTGAGCTCTTCTGCTTTAACAGTATTTACAAGTAAAATGTATTTGGAAGACAAGTATAAAGAATTGCGTACATTAATTTCGGCAGAGGAACTACAAGGAGGCGAATTAATGGACTTTGACAAGTTAAAGTCACGAGTGAAGAAGTACTGGGTGATGGCAGAAACAGGTAACCCTCAGTTTGTAATGGCACGATCTGAGGCCAGTGGCGCTTTATTCTTGATCTGTGCCATTAGTTACAGCTATAATGCAGGTTATGCAACAATGTTGCTTGAACAAAGTAAGTTAAATATAGACTCCAGCTATAAATGTTCAGTATATTTTGTTTTTTTGACACAATATGTAGGTATGGCTTTTTGCACTGTCATGTCTTTAGGAAGATTTTTAGTAGCTTTACTTCACGCTGTACGGAATATTAGAAAATGTACCATCTCTAGCATTTCATCAGAAATAAAGAATTACAGAATCGAAAGACTGGTAGAGTGGAAAAAAAGACTCCCACCATTACAAGTTCGAGGCCAGAAGTGTAGAAAAATTATTTATCACATCAGAAATCTACTTCTCAACATTTGTATAGGAAGTCAGATAGTGATTGTGATCACGAATAAATTGCTTCTGCCAATCTCAATTTTTGGATCTCTCTGCTTATTGATGCTTTATCAAGTAATCCCATTGAGCTTCGTACTCTTTATTGGTATCTTGAGGAAGAGAATCATTAGATGTTTTGTGATGTTGAAGAAATTTTTCTTAAGGGAATCCGAGGACTTGATCATTCCAAATGAACGAGAACACATTCTTGGTTATGAGCAAGATATTGGAGAATTTGTTTTACTTCTAGAAAGTGAGGCAATACAAGATGGATACCTGAAGTTCGTTAACACTTCTATTAATTCATGCATAAAGATGGGTGCAAAGCGTCAGCCTAGATATCTAATGGAGCTTATGGAGAATTCCACCAGCTTCGAGGGTGTATTAAAATTTGAAAGTGATCAAGTCTCTCCGATAATTCGCACCAAACATCTTAATTCCTGGAGTCTTTCTGTGGCAACACTAACAAGCATCATTGAAGCTCTTCCCAACATTCAAAATGAGAAGAGGAATCAATTGTTAAAAAGCGTCATTGAAGGTTTTAGGTATGTGCGCCTTATAGAGAAAAATCTGGATGTTTATAAAAAATTGGAAAGCAGCACGAGTGCTGCAGAATTTGCGTGGGTTCTAGTTGAATTGAGACACAAGTGGTTGGACATGGACCTCCAAAAAATTTCCAGGGTATCAAATTCCTGCAAAGAAACTCTTCAGAAGCTTGCAAATAGAAGTGAAGAAATTTTGACGGAATTCCCAAGTAGAATGAATGAAAATGCTTGGGAAAATTTGCCTGAAAATATCATAATTGCTAATTCAATGCACAAAATAAGCCATAGTTTGCTGTTGGTTTATGAAGAAAGCTATCATTCAGCATCAGATACTCAAGTGTTTGAGAGATTGTCAGTTATCGTTGCAGATATATTTGCTGCATGCCTAAGCAATTTACCTCATGTTATACTCAAGAAATGCAACAACAACGTCATAGAAGAACGGGAGAAAAGCATCCGGGAAGCAACTCACCTTTTGGGAGAAACTCAAGGCATTCTAAAAGCTCTTCAAAAGCTTGAAATTCCTAATCTATCACCTGAACAATCAATTTACATTGATGAATGGCGTACTTTACTCAAACACACTGACCATGGTATTTCTGACTCAACTCCTAGCAGTGAGAATATTGTTACCGCTTCAAGTGGTGAGGTGCATTTGGGTATTCAAGAGCTTTGTGCAAGTGCTAAAGCAGGTATAAATTTACCCTTGTTCTCTAGTTCCATTCGGATTTTGCCTCAGGAGTTTATTATTATTCATGTTCCCATTATGATAACATCAGTTTTTATTTAGGCTTTTGTTGAATTTACATTTCACCAAGTAAAAATTAATAAAACTAGTTATTTCGTATCTCATTGTAAATTTAAAAAAAATAAATTCAAGAAGTATGATTAATTTTGGTGTTTTCAGAACCTTTGGAAATGGATGAAGGCAACACGGAGTGTCATGAGAGCGGTGAAATGGCCGAAAAGTCACGAGAAGAAAAAGAGAACAGCCAAGAATAAAACCCCAACATTTCCACTTTCGGAAGTTATCCTTTTATAAGCATCTTTCTTGTGTGTTTATTGGAGTTTGCCACGCAATTAATGTTGTGATTTGTGAGTCATTCAGTAATATTGTATTATCTTGAAAACCTAGTGGCACCTAATGTTGGCATGTTTTAGACATTATTTTGCTTATTTTTAAGATTAAAAGTGTCATTCAATATTGTTATGCTGTTATAATTTGTTGATCAATAAAATAGATAATTCACTTATTGTTGGGTCGTGATGCCAAACAAGTCTTGGGGTTGTGATGACCCACGATTGATCTTTAGGGTTAGGCCTAAATTGGAGACAAACCAAGTGATTTAAACCCTCACAAGACTTGTAAAACCCGGACACAGTTAAAAGTACTACCTTAATAATGCTTTCTTGGATTGCCACTCAATAGCAACTTCAATATATCTTAAGCAATATAGATCACTGGAGTAGAGATACGATCAGTGATTGGTAGTTATTACTTTTTAAGGCCAATCAGTTGGCCTAGCTATTCATTATGTTTTCAACCAATCGTCCAATCTTCCTCTTCTTTCCCATTTCTCCTGCGAGCGACGTGCTTAATACTTAGCACTTGTTTGGATGGTGTTTATAAACGATTTAAATTTTAAAAAGTTAAAAATGAGTGGCAGATAAATAGTACCACTTATGAAAGAAATGTATGGATAAAAGTAATTTGATCGATGATGTTTATTTTATAAACATCTACCAAGCATGTTTTATCTTTCTAGGTGAAAACCTCATTGTGTGAATGATTTTGAGAGTGTTTGAGAGGATATCGTGTTTCTATGATTGTGTAAGTTACAGCCCTTTATGTGCTGAAGATTTGGGTCTAGCAATAGGGTTGACTATGTGAGACAAGGGTCCAAAATTATGAGTTCTAACATTTATGCTGGATTTAGTGCTAAATAATAATATGAAGCAATGTGTACTTTTTTCTTTATTTCACGTGAGATATGTATATTAGTGGTATCAGAGCTTTAGGTAAAGCACTAAGAAAAGATGAAGCCTCTATTTAGGGTATTGCAAAGGGTCTCGCACAAATTTCGGGGCTCTGACTTTGACTAAAAGGTTTTGAAGATTTGGTGTGGATCGATGAAGTTCTTAGGTTCTACCCAAAAGTTTTTTTTTTTCCTCACCAATTTGATAGATTTTTGAGTAGCAGCGTTTATTCGGGGTTGGAAAAATTAGTGCTTACTAATTTTTTTGAGCATCGATTTTGGATGGTTTAAAGATCAACTAAATTTTTTGTAGAATAATTTTGACCGTTTCTCTCAATCCACCAAATCAGTGACTTTCGGTCGTTTCTTATATTATTTTCTAATTTTACTCTTTATAAAATAATTATTTTCAACCAACAAGTTTTATTCAAAACTAACTAGTAATAATAATAAAAAAAATACATTAACTAAAATAACTATTTATAAGCAAAAAATTACTTAATAATAAAAAAATTACTTAGAAGATAAAAATAACTTTATGTAAAAAATTATTTACAAAGTAAAAATAAAACTAATAATACACTAGTTCACTTATAAAATATAAAAAGTTACTTAGAAGTAATTCACTTATGTATAGAAATAATTTAAAAGTACAAAATTAACTCATAATTGTAAAATTTATTTATTAGTAAAAATAATTATTTTAAACTTTAAGTAAATAAAACAGTTAAATATTACCTTATATGTAAAAAAAATACTTATAAGTAAAATATTAGTTGTTATTAAAAAAATTATATACAAGAAATTATATTTTAAAAGTCTCATCAATTGGCACATATGTAATTTTATTCGTTTAAAAAAAAAATTAGAATCGATGTATAATAACTAATAAGTGTAATTATATTCACTAATTCGTACCACAACTTTTATTATTTACTCCACATTCTAATTTCATTTAAGGTCCTCAATCTTTGCTCAATGTTGCATTTATTATCTAACGTTTTTCAATGAAATCTCGTCCTCAACATTTCATTGATTAGCACATATCATCTTTGATAATTGTTTTTGTCCAAAAAGTATGTAGGAGGATGTAAAACAACTTACTTATCCATTATATTTTTTTTATAAAAATAAATATAAAAGTACGACATAATAACTTTTACCTCATTTCAAAGCATGTAAACATAATATTTTGACATAAACCATCATCAAGAATGAGATGTATTGCAAGTTGATGGATATTGAAGATAAGAATTAGACAAAAAGAAATTTAAGAATATAAGGGGGTGTTCTCTTTGTGTTTCAGTTTTGTGTTTTGAGTTTTAAATTCATTTTGAGTTTTGTGTTTTGAGTGTTTGTTTTGAAATTGTTGAAAATGCGTTCTTTTTGTTTGTTTCTCAAAACAAAAAAAAAATGAAATTTTTTTTTTTTGAAATTTTGAGAATCACCATACCATCTCCGAAAAAAAAAAAAAAAAGGTGTTTCCCGCGTTTTCAGTTTTTTCAAGTTTTACACTGAAAACGCCCAAAACGACAAAAAAGTCGTTTTGTGTTTTCTTCACAAATTTTTTTTTCGTTTTCGAAAATGGGAAAGAGAACACGTTTTCATCGTTTTGAAAAATCGAAAACAGAAAACGGCCCGAAAACGGTAAAGAAAACAGGGCCTAAGTGTTTATAATGAGAAAATATTGAGGACCTTATGTCATTAAAATGTGATGCTAGACAACAATTGTGATATAAATATAATAAACTCCCAAGAGCTGGACGGACTTATAAAAAATCGCTAATAAATTACTCAAAATCTATCCAATTATAAACGCTCAAAATCGATACTTTCACAGTTCCCAAAATTGTTACCTAAGAATTCCGAAGCAGACCCTTATTGTTTGTCCAAAAAGCAATTCTTTGAAGAACCTGCTCTAGTTTGACCCGATTTGTATTGACCCCATATTATTCGAGGTATTGTTTTAGAGTAATGCTGTTGATCCCCACTAGGGTTGAGTTCCAGTCTATGTGACAATTATATGGTATTAGATGAAAGATTTATTTTAATACAAAGTCATATGACTCATTTGATTGAACCTATAAAATATTGCCATCTGGATTGTGGCTCAACTTCAATGAAGATGAATAGCATTACTCATTGCTTTATGGTAGTTGACATGTAATTTAAATGAATAATATGGCATGTTGTGTGATATAATCTTAATAATTAAAAAAAAATGATTATTAGAACATTCCTATTTTGTAACTACTACAATTATGTCGTGTAACTTGACTATCGTAGTCGTTGGCTATGAATAATACTATTCAATTTGAATTATTTTAGGATTTTATACGCACGATTAATTTAATTAGGATTTAATCAAAATAATTTAGTTTCGATAGTAATGGATTTTTAGGAAACTTTTGGAGAAGTTTGTGAAATACATCTAAAATACTGTACAAGTTCTTAAAATCAAATAATTCTATGCTTCTAAAATACTTATTCAAGTTCAACATAGTTATTTAAAATACTCTACAAATAAACAATATTCATCAGAGCTGCTGAGGATGAGGATCAAAAGGATAGCACAAACTTATGAGCCCCTTAATTCATTTTCCTTAAAGGCTGCATAAATACAGGCTTAAGAACAATATGCAAAGTTCTTGAATGAGATGCTATGAAAGAAAAAAAGACTTGAAGAATGGAGATTGTGGCCTTAAATGAGAAGTGCAATGCCGTTTGCTTAACAAATTGCCTCCAAAATTAAGAAGTTCATAAAGTCTCAAAATACCTTGCTCTATTGGAAATAATTGTATTTTTAATGCTTTGTGCAATTCACGTGCCATTGCAAATTTACATCATTTTTATGTCTACAAGGAACTTGGTTTCGAAGGAGTAAAAGTACAACAATTTCTCTATCTACAGCTTGTTGATAGATTCATCAAAAATCTATGAGGCATGATTAAGAACATGCTCATCGAAGTAGGCAAAATTCACCTTTTTGCAGATATCATCATACTTGTCATAGAGGGAGACTGGAATTATATACCAATAATTTTGGATCGATCATTCCTAATGACAATCCAAACCTTAATAGACTTTGACACATGTGAGCTAATCTTGAGTGTGGCAATAAACAATAAGGATTCAATATGTATATCCCAAGTAAAGATCAAATTCGAGGAGTGCCATCAACTTGACAATGATAATAGCGATAAATGGAGCTATGCATACAAAAGGAAAATTGGTTGATAACTTCAAATTTATATGGTGAAGAAGAAAAAGTGTAAAGGCTGTAACTTCAAGCAGTGCATGAATGGCAAAGCCCGATGTCAGCCACCTTGAGTGATCACTACTCAAAGTTGAGTTCAAGCCTAGAAATTTAAAGCTTAATGGGAGGTAACCCATATTTCTATTATTTACTTGTCTTTAATTATTAATTGCATTGCATGTAGTGAGGTAGGATTTCATTTAGTACTTAAAACACATTTAATTATCATTTATCTTATGTTTTTTCAGTATTCTATACTTAGGATCATATTCCAAATATCATAGTTATGCCAAAAAATAAAAAATAAAAAATAAATTAAAAAAAAAGAAAAATTGTTATTCAAGATTTGGACTATGAAATCGTATAGCCAAGATTTGGTTAACTGTCATACGTCAATATTGATCATGGGAGAACGATCATGGGATCAACCATGTGACCACAAGTTGTAAAGCTATGCGATTGCACGACAATGCAAAATGTTTAATACAATGCAGATTCTTTCTCCCATCCTTCACATACGATGATAAAAGGTTAGTCTTAACTCCCATATATTTATATAGATCATGAATTGTTTTTTCTCTTTTCAACATCATGGAAATGTTATGCAAAATAAGCAAATGAGAGAAAAGAAAGAAAAAAGATCAAATGCTAATGTAGAGACATCATCAAATGACACGATGAGTACTGCTAACATTTTTTAAACTTATTTTGTGAACACACTAGGATAATGGATATTTGAAATTTAGAGGAGTAACTTTTTAGTGTTCTTTCTTCGTTTGTATGCACGTTATTTGTTAAATACAAAACAAAAATGAAAAATTAGAAAAAAATTAAAATAAAATATTTTTTTATATGGTGCTTGCATGAGTTGGATACTATGCCAACTAAAGATAAAATTATTAGAAATTGTTTATGATTCATGAATTGTACTTAAGTGACAAAACTTATGATAAATTTGATACTTATCCATGAGAGATTGTAATTTGTTGTGCACAATAATCGTGATAATAAACATGTAATT